AATGCCTATGAAAAAAATTGTGGCTAAGGATTTTTAATTTTTTTCATCTGCCTTTGAAACAATATACTAGGAGCTTTCTATTAAATTTTCAGTTTTTTTAACCAACAAATAAAATTTTATTGATATTTATAGAAATAAGAACTGAAAAGAATGGAAACTTAAAATGTCCGTAAAGAGCTCAAAATAAGTCAAAATATTTGGAAAATGTTATGGTCTATAGAAAATGCTAATATAAACATTCAGCCAAAATTTCATGTACCTAAGTTCAATTGTTCTAACTTCTAAAGTTACACCAAAAAGTAAAATTGATTTTTTCGAAAACAGATTTTGTGTAAAATTTCCGGTTTTCCATTAATTTTTCTTTTGTTTTGCACGGTGCTTTTGCAAACTACTGGAAACATTTTACTTTTGACCCCCAAAGTACCAACTAGTTTCACTTTCCTATCAGAAGAGATACTGTTGAAGAAAATCCAAGCATTTTTACTGTCCTAAAAGGTGATGACAGACACAAAAAAAAATTAAAATTAAAAAAACACACATCATTGTAAAATCAATACATTCATCGTTACACTCAGAATCTAAAATTTGTGAATATGTGAATAATATTAAAAATATTATGGTATACTACTTATGACGTAATGGTTACAAATATTTCATCAGATTTACACACTATAGTTATTTTGACTGGAAAGGCGCCAGGCGGATAGCTATGCAATGTAGTTAGTAATTATTTTAAATATATTCTAGTACCTAAAAATCTTTATGTATATAATGATCCAATAAAAAACGTATTAATGAAAACTACAAGTACAATTAATCAAAACGGGTTCGGACGTTCCGACATTCGGTTAAGTTTACAAATAACATCACCCATTACAGTGATCCACTTGTAACCTACTATACATCAGAGCGACACCTACTTACCCACTTTTAGATTCTCAGAGGAGCGATTAACATATCGATGGCTAAGAGGCCAAAAGTTGTATGGCCCAAACACTAAATTTTTCAGGAGAGCAGCTTTAAAATTTTAAATTATTCTACACCAAATAATTTGTGTTGTAGATTTTTGTTTTTCGGGGTTGCAACTGATTTATTTGTAAAATATTCTGTAGATTACAGCATAAATTATTGCTTTTAGGTCTTAACATTTTTTTTAAACGTGATTATAACGTTTCTTTTAAATTTAAATGGGACTTGTTATGAATGGCAATTATAATATATTTTTACCGTGGACATATAAGGTTGATATTGAGATATCATGAAATGCTTATATTTATTGAGATATTATTCAATATTGTATATAGGTACCTATAATAATATTATTATGCAAATAAATTGTAAAATTATAAGTAACCCTAGTCCTTAGTACAAATCTACACAAATAAATAAAAACTTTTATGACGTTAATAATAATTTTCAACACAATTCTATAAAATTATTATGTATTAAACTATTAACTACCTATTATAAGTGTCTCCGATAAAATTGTGTTCATCCACTATGTGCTATTATCTATTATAATTTTTCTATATTTATTATTTATTCTTCTGTTAGTTTTATAAAAAAAATATTGTTGAATTACAGTGCACAAAAAAATTGAGTGTCAGTATTGGTCTCCATATATGTTTATTAGTTATTTGTCCTAACTATTTGTTATTGTTTCTATATTTACGTACTATACAGAAACAACCTTGAACTACCTACAATGTACTTGATAATTCTTAGATCAGAAAGTGATATTTCTTTCGCAATAAATGTAGGTATACGATATACTCACTATTTAATACTGTAATATTTAGGTACCTATATTACCAGTGAGGGCATGAGCGATATACATAAAATATTGTTTGAATATTCACTAGTCCTGAATTTTGTTGGAGGGGATGCCCCTGCTCAATTCGATGGTGGGTACATTTTTAAGATATAACAATGTATTGTCTATAAAATAATAATGATTCAATTTTGATTATATTTTTTGAGCTATATAATGTAAATTTATTTATTTATTTAGTGTTCCAACATTATTAAATAAAGATAATATCTAGATAATATTATCTACCAACATATTATATAAAAAGATACTTATTTACTTTCGCCAGTTAATATGTAAGTATTGATATAGAAAACAGTTTAGGGAAACAGTTATGCTCCTGAGTAACATCGGATGACATGAATTATTCAATTACAATTAGATATACAATAATAAATGAATACATTATCATTGCTATAACTTGTTTTATAATAATTTAAAATCAAAATCAAAATTGTAATTTTTTATTTTTTTATTTTTAAGACATAGTTTTAACGAGCGTATTTTACTGCACATTTGTTCATTTTTTGTGCATAAATGCATATTTTTAAGAACATATTTCGTGATATTATAATGATATACATGACATTATATAAATCCGAGCTCAACCAAACAAATAACCATTAACGTTCTTGATGAACGTATCTATCAAGAAATAAGAATGACATTAAAATATTCCATATAAAAAAAAACCAAGTAACTAGGTTTGCCGGATAGAAGGTGTCGAGTATATTATATGACATATACCTTGTTATTGAATAGGTCCTGCGGTAATGGATGTATTAAATTTGAATTCTACAATAAATCAATGTATTTGATGATAAACGATTCCTAGTGAAGACATTTTGGATAAATAATAATAGTTGAACCTTTCTGTGCCTAATTATTTTGATTAACTAATTTTATATCTATTTTTGCTATAGTACATCAATACGTTATGAATAAGTTGAATTTAGGAATGCAATGTAATAAATTAAATATAACGATGTCACCCAGTTATTAAAAATATTACCGACTAAACGACTAAAATATTTTATTGCACAACAATTGTATCTTCTATAGTGTAGGTACTGCATATAGGCACTAGTTCAAATATCCACTGAATTGACATCGCGTTCGATGTTATGCATTTAGTGCAAAACTAAAAACTATAAAACCTTGAAGAATATTGGATGGTAATGATGTCTTTCTGTCATTTAAGGACTTCGTATTTAGTATATACGGAAACTGATTTGAGGTGAGCTACGATGAATATGATAAAAATGTATAAGTATAAGAATGTTGTAGAATTAAGAATAAAGTAAATATAGCATAATATAGGTAGGTTATCGTATAACGAAAGCAGAACAATTCCTACTTCTTGCAGCAGCTATTGCATTATAATAGCGCCTGCAAAAAGCGGTTTTCCGAAATTAATCATATAATGTTATATAGTTTTATCAATATTATCATCATCTCCATTAAAGTGCGCGTACCAAGTGTTCCTCTTTTATTGAAATAAGAAACACATTGGCACTTGGCAGGTCAACGTGTTCTTCTCGCTAAAGAAATAGATAACCACTGTTGTATTTTACTACTTTATGTCACTATTTACTAACTGCACAGATTTCTGCAAATTTTTTCCGTTTGGCAAATCCTTTAATTGTATTATATACCTACTTACCTATACCAGCTGACTTAAACATCAACGTAAGTTTATACAATAATCGATGGACACTCGTCGGTTTATCAAATTTTAGAGATCAGTAGATGTGGATGTATTGAACCATATATAAATAAGGTATACCGTATGGCATATACGGTATACCTAGTGGTAAACATAATGATGTTCACTGAGTCACTACCTAGTATTGGTTCTGCATTCTAGCGACGAGTCAAAATGTCATCTCGTATTATAGTCGTATTACTGTACATAATATTATTTAGACATAGTATTACGCACACGTGGTGGCATTGGACGCGTCAAAGCTTAAATGTGCACTCAAGGCCGCAAAAAATATATAATAATGCAATAGTAGGTACGATAGTCGATATAGGTATAAATGCATAATATAGACTAGGTGTAATGTACAAAACTGGTGTAGGCATCGCGATCATGCGGTCTCGCTGTATAAAATACGAACCACTTCCAGATTCAGTTTATTCGTACAACCATTCGGGGCATGACGTTAACGCAGCAACGTGTTGTGCACAAGATTCGCGAGGAATACATTCGATCGCGTATTATTACAGCTTATAACAATAATACCTGTAATTTATTGTAATTAACGATTTTATTGGCAACGTGACCGCCGCGGATAACTCGTCGATGACTCGCTCGCGTTCGCCCCGCCGCGCCGGATCGTTTGTATAGCTGCTGCTGGTAAGCCAGGAACAGTGGGCAATAATAATAATAATGATATGATGTACGGTTTTAATTCGTTTCACGTTTTGCGGAATTTTACTCTACAACAGTATATGGTTTGCAAAAAGCATCCAGCGACTGCTGCGTAGGGCTGTATAGACGACGAATAAATTGCAAGACGATTATAATAGGTAATGTTATTGTAAAAACAGAACCATTCGAAGTGCGATGTAGTGAGTAGGTAAAATATGCGAACGTGAATGTTTCAATTTTTCTATATCGTATCAAGTTGAAAAAAACTGAAGTGTTGGTACATATACTTTGGATACACTCCCGATAGTGTTTTTGATGAAAATATTAGTGACATTTATCATAGGTAAGGACATGATAAAAATGTTATTATTATGCACTTTAAAAAAATAATAAAAATGTAAGCACTGAACAAATTCACAACTACCTACCTACATGATTCATCTTTTACAGACAGTATCTTATCTTGGAACCTTGGCATATGTATAGCTACTGCGTGATTAACCACTCAACATAATATACCTAACATAATATTTGTATCATAGCATCTTCACGCCTTCAGTCACATATTATAATGCACAATTAATATATTTGAAGAACGTTGATGTTACAAATGATGCGCATTCTACTTTATACATGAATCTGAAAACTGTTGATGTCCGAAATATTATTATGCTTGTCGATACTACTTGTAAACATCTATACGTACACTAATAAGGCTATACGAAATTGTTTTACAACAAATACAACAGACATTGCAACCAGATGAATCAATTCTACAACATAATATAAGGCCAATTGATTATTGTTCTTAAAATGGGTATGGATTGTATGCAATAACTATTAACTATAATGACTTATAATTTGATCATTATTTTCGATACGTTTTCATAACTACCAGCTATACCCTATAATTATTGAGCTTGTATGACTTCTGTTTTACAGAAATAATATCAAAAAATCACTTATCTGTTGTCACTGGATCAACAAATATGAATTTAATACTTTGCATATGTTTGATGGGCATAGTATCATTGACAGCGGCACAAACCAGAGTCAAATGTTTCGACAATAATAAGGGCAGAGATAAAACGGGTATAATATTGGACTGTTCCAATATGGCTGGCAAGAGTCATCCCTATAGTATTGAAGACTGGATCCGATACCATGCGTTCTACGATGATGGGATTCTCGCTAATCGTGTGTTGCATATTAACCTGGAAAACAACAATTTAAAACAAATATTCGCACTTCCACCAATGACATCGTTGAAGAAATTGTCATTTAAATACAACAACATATCGTCTATTGCAAATAAGGCGTTGACGAACTTGCCAGCTCTCGAAGAACTGGACATAAGTTTCAATTCGTTGAACAGTAAGTACCTACGTTCATTTGTTCTACGTAAACAAAGTTTTGATAGCAGATTTAAAAAAAACCTAAACCTTAATATATTTAAGTAGAGTGTCTTATCCATTTAAATCATACACCATACATAAATATTATGTTAGGTATCGGATTTTAAACTCTTAAAAGTATTTTATGAAATCTTTTAAAACAAATTAAATCCACGATATTGTTCGAAACTCAATATACAATGAGAGCCGGATTTAGGTGAGTGGCTGGATGAATACGGTCACCTGCAGGTTCCAATCATAGTAGCGTTAGTTTTGGTTTCACTTTGATTTTTTTTCTTTTACGAGATAGTTAACGATTTTTTGTGATCCCTCTTTTTTATCAATGTTACCGAACCTAAAATCTGTAATCTTTATACACAATTATAATCAATACACACGTAAATACTATACGTGACAAAATAATAAGATTTTAAGTTACCTTAGGTTAGTATATAACTGTATGTATAAAATACCTATTGACTATTAATAATTAACCATCTAATAATGATAGTAAATGTAAAATGTTGTCATTTGAATAATACCAATGAGTATATAATATTATATACAAATGCAATATAGGTATACTCAATGATAAAGCATAGGTATCAAAATATTTTACAAATACAATATGATTATTGATTACTTTCACAATAACTCAAAAATTCAACAAAATTCTGTGTACACGATAAGTAATTGAAATAATACTACAATTTTTAACTTCAGTATCTTTTCCAGTGGGAAATTATAATTCCAGTGGCAATATGGTATACAATTATTTCATATATTACTAGTATTAGTTAATAGTTATTACTATTTAGTATTTACTATATTATAATAGCTGTTCATCGTACAGTAGAACGGAGCGAATAGGTTCATGGTGTTGATAATAATAACTTAAAATTAATCTAAATATTTTTAAAATTTAATTTTGTACCTAAAGTAAATAATAATATATACATAAAGTAGCGGAAAAAATGCAAGTGTTTGCGTATAATATTTTTGAATTATCCACAATAACAAGGTGTTCAAAATTGAAATTAAAAATTGTATGTAGGTATACCTATTCTAAATACATATAATTTGAATATTCTTGTGATTTTGCAGAATTTCATAAAAATTTGAACTTTAAATGCTTATAAAAAAATAATGTGGTTATGTATTTTCTATATTTATAAAATGGAGTAAGAATAACTTATGAAAAATCTTGTATTATACTTTCAAGCTTTTTTAGTTTTTTACTGTCAAAAATATATTTTGTCTTACATAAATCGAAAAAAAAATAAATCAATGATATAAAATATTTAGGTATAAAATATAAATGCACAAAAGAGCAAAAATATTTTGTGAATTATAATAGCATGTCTAGAAAAAACTAATATATTATACAAGGTACAAGGTACTTCGTACATATCTAGACATACACATATAGGTACCTACCCATATACCTATACAAATTTACAATCTAGCTGTATTGTTTGACACAGTAAGAATATAAGCTAAAAGTACAAATTACATGATGAGAAAAGAGACACCCACTAATAACTCTTTCTAGCTCAATTATTACTTTATTTTTTTTAAATTGAATTTTAAAGCAGATCATCACTGCACCACTTGCGCTTTAAAGATTTATTAGGATTACCTGGTATTGTGGCGGAGGACAAATTTGTATTATGGGATTTGAATGAGTACCTAGGTGGTTGTGAAATCTTTTATAGTAACATTTAGCTCCATTTTAAAAAATGCTAGTATAATTAATATTTGTTGAAAAAATCAATTCTTTACAGTAATTTATTTCTGAATTACAACAAAAAAAACAAAATCAATTTAGTTAAAAATTGGTTTGAGTTAAAAATTCAATCAATTTTGTTTTCGATAAATTTGACTTAACTAAGTATTTTTACCATATTTTAACCAAAGTACCACATAAATCAAACTTTTGAACAAAATTGATTATTAATGTACTTTTACTGGTCTAAAAGGTGATTACAGAAAAAAAAAACTATCATTGTAAAACCAATAATATTCATCGATTTACTTAGAGCCTAAAAATAGTGGACTTTATCACCCCCATTTTATATTGAAATCTATATCTATATCTATATTATATTATATTAGTTAAGGAATACCTATGCTATATTATGATATAATATATAATGTGTATTTAAATTTCTCAAACAATATTTTGTGAACTTTTTTACTGATTAGGTTAATTAGGACAATTTCAGTTATAAAAACAATTATTTGTATCCATGGAAATTGAAATGACTATAGGGTGAAATGGTAGATCTAATTTGATTAACCTTCGAAGCATGTGATTCAATTAACCGCTGCAAATTGAACGAAGGAGCTATACAGACAAACAACCCATAAGACTATATTAAACTTCCACAACGACCGTGTAGATACATGTATTGAACATAATAATATACATATACTTTGCGTAAGATGCCGGCGAACATCCTAAATGGCTAAATTCATCGCCATGCGAACCCTATTGAATTTGGTTCATTTAAATTGACTAATTAGCAATTAAATTACAATTTACAATACCGTATACAGAATATGCAAAACTGCTCACATTCTTCAAGTTGTATGCATACATTTCAACCTCTCATAATATTATGGTATAATAACGTATGCTGCAGCATGCACGTTATAAATTATGCGAAAAATATTAATTCACTACCTATTTCATTTATAAAATGGAAATAAGTTAAGAAATTAAATTAAAAACTAAAATATTAGATGTATCAACAAACAGTATAACTAATTATATAAGATTATTAGCGATTAAGACAATTGAGTATTTAGCTCTACAATAATGATGAATAAAACAATTTAAAAAGTCAATTTAATCATATATAGACACCAACACAAAAATGCTGGTGGTCTTTTTTAAAATTATATATTTGTAGCATTAAATATGTTACCCGACACCAGACGGCAGACCACCAAGTATTTGCGATAACTAAAAACAAAATAAAAGTTATCTATGTTTCGGCTGATGTATTTTTACACTAAAATCAGCCTCCTGTGTTCCTCCTTGTAAGCCATATAGAAAGAAAATTGAGAAAGCACTTATTATCTACTATTTTTGTCAGTTTTATAAATTATAATCTAAAAATGTCGTAGTTTTCGAAAATCTGTCATTTTTGTCATAGCCCATAGGTAACTCAAACTTAATAACACGTCTTGTAAAAATATGTTTGACACAGTTGTGTCATGATAATTTTGAGATTTTTTCAATTTAGACATTTAAAAATAATAAAAAATATTATTAAACACAAATTTAAAAAAAAAAAACAATTTTAATACAAATAAAATTACTCAAGATATCGGACTATTTTAGAAAATAAATAAAAATTTGAAAATCAAAACAAATATGTAAGTATTAACTCAATATTTTAATTATTTGTTTGGTCAGTGGTGTTGGTTTTTCCCGAACTTAATACATTTTATTGAGAAGTACAAAATATTTGCCGAAAGGGTGCCTCAATTTTTGTCTTTTAGTAGCTAATATTTTTGTATTACCTAAGTGCCACGAGGAAAATTAGTCTAGAGAACTACTGTTATAGTGATATATGGACTATAAACAACTAATAAATAGTTACACCAATCTTGTCATACTCGTGTTATTATAATTTTTTAAATCTAAAAATATAAATGAGAACCTTTTTTTTTTTTTTTCCGTTTGAACCGACAGCAGAGGAGGATCTGTGTGAACACTACTACTCCTCAAATGAGAACCTTGATGAAAATAATTATCCAAACTTTCAATTTTTCTCAACAATAAATTATAATAGTTATAAATGAGATGTTTTTAAATATATATCATTTCTATCAGTACACGATGTTCTACACTTATGTGTCCACACAATACATTTTAAAATCCATCTATTCTATTTTGAAATGTGTATAAATAAAATAGACGTTTTCCGGTTTTCGTGAAATCAGTTCATATATTGCATCAGTCAAGTTTCATTTTTATGTACCTACGCATTTTTGCCTGACAGCACGTCGGACGTAGGTAACGAAGGATATTTAACCTGTTTTAAACGATGCGTATGGCTAATTTATTAAAACATGATTATGATAAATGTTATTTTGATAGTTGAGTACAATCGCATCACAAATAAAACGGAACTGCAAACCTAAAATATTTAAAAAGGACTAGATTACAATATAAATAAATGTATTAATAATTATTATCATTAAAATAAATAGTTACATAAACAAAATTACAATTTTATCTAAATTAATTATTTAATAAATATGCTGAAACATTTATTTTTCTATTTGTTTTGGTAAAATTCTATGTAGGTTTGTTGCAAATATATTATTCAAAATTAATTAAAATTAATTAAAACAATAGTTTAAATATAATTTGAATAAGACCTACACAATTATTTTTATTTATTACGCTATGTTTAGTAATTTATTTATTTATTGTATAATATAATAAAATATATACTGAATGACTGAAAATATAATTATTTTAGGTCATGAATTACGTGAATCTGTTTACCGTAGTTATCAACGGCCAAACGTACCTTCTACAAATGATGAACCAGCGCTAAGAGTCCTGAAGTTAGGATACAATAATATACATTCTTTGCCCCCGAATTTTTTTCAGTATTTAACGAAGCTAGAAATTCTTGAGTTGAATAATAATCCTTTATTGGTAATTGATCAAAACACTGAAATCTCCTTAGGGTATTTAACAAATCTTCAGGTAAATTACTGTGTTTTTTTTTTCATAACATGATGTAATAAAAACAATTTTGAATTACAGGTATTGGATTTAGCCAATACAGGTATATCAGACTTCCCAACAGATGCGTTTTCCCAACTGTTCAATGTTCAAACATTATACCTGAACGGTAATCAGTTCCAGAATATACCAAAAGAAATCCGGAACATGCCTCTGGCGTATCTTAATATGAACGCAAATCCCATAAGTAACTTGGATAGTGAGTCATTTGTCGGTCTGGACCAACTCCAAGAACTCATTGTGAGCGGTATGCCTAACTTGACCGATGTCGGATGCGGCACATTTGCACCACTAAAGAAGCTCATAACACTACACATGTCCCACAATCCCAGTTTGTCAAACATCCATTACGACGCTTTCGTGGACAATACTAGCCAGCAATGGTCATTGAGACAAGTAATTTAATAAAACGTTGACGAATGAGTGATATTAAAATTTAGTATTTTGATTTTAGCTATCAATAAGTTACACGAACATCAGCAGTATAGATTCGAAACTCTATCCTTGGTCAATGCTAGACTTATTCGACGCCAAAGGTAATCAATGGACGTGCGACTGTAGCTTGTCATGGCTTGCAAGTTATATCAATGAAACATTTTCAGAAATGCCGGAAAAACTTCTATATTATCGGTAATTATTGAATAAGTACCTATTGTAGTATTTAAAAATAGTAATGAAACGTCTTTCATTAATCTTAATTTATTTTGCATTATTTTCTTGTACATATATTCCTATAGTCTAAATTCTCAATCTTAAAATATGTATGATATTTTTCATTCGACAATCGCCATTTTTATTGGCTATTTTTGTAATACACTAATTTCTTTGTCACCTCTAAACTCTAAAGTGATTATTTTTATTCAAATACAAATATTTTTTTTCAAAGTTCTATAAGGTTTTTTTATTTCTTGTATTTATTTTTAATATCAATTTTCGTTTTTAGGTGTAACGAGCCCAAAGTCCTATATTCGACACTAGTATCTCAATTGAATGAACACATCGATTGCGACGATTATGTCCATGTTTCTAATAATCACAGTCACGGTCACGTCACACGACTCCGACATTTTATCATTGTCATCGGTTTAGTAATCGGCATTTTCGTGTTTGGCACTTTAATAAACATGGGTTGTAGGGAAATGAAGAAGGTGCTAAAGCCCAGCATATATGTTCCGTCAGGATTTAGCACTGGTGTAAAATACAGACCCGCTGATTTCGAAGAAGATACAGACACATTAGAAGTGCCTGCCAAGACCACAACGATCAATGGACGATCACCGATAGTTATAAACAATACAGACTGAAATCATAAATTTTAAACTTTTTGGCTAAAAACAAATATGAGCCGGAAAATAAGATTGATAATAATATATGAAACATTTAACAATATTATTTAGTAATTACTTATATATTATATTATAAGTGAATAATTTTCGTTGATTATAATAAAACATGTTATTTTTAATTATTTATTTACTCTAATTTATTTGCCAGTTTTATATTATGATGAACTGCTGGTACCTATAATATTATAGTATATTATATTAATAAATACCTACCATATTATGTTTAGTGAAAATAAAATACCCGACGTTTTAACCTACATTGTCTCTCTAGTCTCTACATTTAGTTCAAAACGTTTTCTGAAGTGTTCTCAATTTACACATTCTTGCTCTTAGAGGTCTTTAGGGTCTTGTCACAGGCCCATTGCAACGACTCAACGACCAAGAACACTTTTCATCCGTTTCTGTAAAACGTCTAGTGGGCTTTTGACATAATGAGTTTGTCTCATCACATACACACGTAACTATAATGAGGGCACAACGTCAAGGGGTGTGTTTTTTCTTTCTTTTAGTTCATTGTTGACGAGAACCGGAAACCCTTGATGCCGGTTATTGTTGTGTTCTATGTGCCAAAACGCTTTTGTATATATAAAATTGTTTTTAACCTTGTTACTGAACCTATGTTCATATTGTTCTAAAAAAATACAAAAAAAAGACAAAGGAAGTGAGAAGATTTTTATCAAAATAATTTTCATAATATAAATTAATTTAAAAATACCAGTTTAAACTAGGCATATAATTAGTTAACCTATACAATATTATCATTTATCTTTCATTTATAGTACGTATGTTCAATATTGTATAATATTAATTAATCATTTAAATATTATAATGACCTGCAGGCTGCAGCAGACCATTGGTCAATACATCAAAACATCAAGTTTAAGTGTAAAATATTTAATTTAAAACAAATAACAGTAATATAAAATACCAGTAAAAAAAATGTATGAATACACACCTATAACAGCAATATGCCAAATTATTCAAAAAATGTAAAGGCGACCGACCGCCCTTAATATAATATGTATAGTCTGTCATAAATGTATTTGATAAATAGTATTCATATGTAAAAATAAAAATAACCATGATAGTATATTATTTATATTCCTAATAATATTATTTATTTTAAATTTGAATACTTACATCTGCCTCTCCCATCTAGTACTCGGTTTGCCTCCCTTTGAAGATTTGGTCTAACTATACGAAAACATTTATATATAGGTATATATACAAGCCTCAGTATTTATGTCCCTAAAGTTCTAAGTAACTCTAGAGTAGCGAGACTATTAGACATCATTACATCAATATATAGTATTTGAGTGTGAGTTTTTCAACAGTAAACTGTAAAAAAAATGTCAGTTTAATAGTATACATTTTAAGAAAAAAAATATAATTAAATGGCACACCGTATAAAGATAAAAGATTATATAATTATGAATTATAATATTCATCAGCCATCAGGAGTGTAATGTAATTTATAGTATGATGAGTATAAAAGGGCATGCATTTGAATTTATTTAGATGTTCGGATGCTCTTTATAGTTTATTATATTTTACAGATATCAAACACTCAAATTATTATACTTTGGTGGTTTTAGAGATTCGTAATGATAAAAGTGATGTGTTAAAATTTTAGCATTATTCTTAGTTCTAGATGTTATATTATTTATTTAACATTTTAAGTAATTTTATATTGACTATCTTAAAAATTTCATTTCAATTAATAATTTTTAATTTAAAAATATATTAATAATATTTTTGAATTATGTTGTATTATGAAAAATCGAAGTATTAAAAATCAGTTATATAGTCTTATAATGATTTTTCAATTTGAATATATAGGTAGTAGTTACTTATTTTTTGTTAGTAAATTGTTTTTCATTCCACGCACATTTCTGAAACACGTAATTAATTATTATTACGCTTGTATACCTATATATATCTATATGGTACCGGTTACGATTTAAATTGCACCGTTAACAATAATAAATATGAATGCGTAATTGCCAATCAATATAATATATTTCTAATAGTGTCGTGTACAGAACACACATATATATACATATATATAATACAATACAATATATTATTATTAGGCCAGGATTTCAATGGTAAGTACATTATTTTTTGGGTGCTCTATAGTACATAGCATTCCAAGTTGATAATTTTGTTTCATGTAACAGATACGTACTTCAAAAATGAAACTTTAATTTAGTATTTTTTTTTTTTAAATTAGCATTTTCAGAAAATTGTATTAATTTTTAGTTGATATTAATACATTGTAATATATAGCTTTTTGTCTAAATTAGGAAGTTAAAAATATTATATCAAGAAATATTGCTTACATAATATTTACTTATTTTAGTTATTTTTTATCCGTATCTACCAAATGTCAATCGTTCAAAATATGAATGCAAATAATATTTGATATAATGTATAATGTATTTATTTATCTGCAGCGATTATCCAACGTGGTGTCTTACTTCAAAACCATATCAAATAATTTATCAGTTGGAGTTATATCGTGATCGTTTATTCGTTTTTATTTTCAGTAAACTGTTTATTTATTTTGCGTGCCTATATAGATTCTCTATTTTGTTTTTGTATTATTGTGGGTTTAGTTAAAATAAATAAGTGTTGTTAGCAATATTCCAAAAGTTAATTCGCCGTTTTCTTCTTGCTTGCCTATCAAAAACAATTTAAGGTCATTGTTTAAGTTCATTATTGCGTTTAAAAGGGCTTTCTGAAGTCGTTTTTGGTTATTTCTTAAAGCTTGATAGTTTCTAAGACATTTAAATGCGGTCCCTAATTACTATATAATATCTATATCTATACGGTATCCTATATAATATAATATGCCACACATACCGTCGTACACCTCTTGGTCCGCTATAGCGACCGGTGGATACCGTGAACCGTTCTAAATTACCATAACTGTTAATTAATATTCATAACAGCGTGTCTGTTACATAATATAATACGAATAATACATGTAGGTACGCGGCCGCGGTCGTGTTGTTATTATTATTATGATTATTATTACAGCTCTTCGAGTCGTCTAAAGTTCCGGGTACACGTATATTATTATATATTATTAAATTGTACGCGGCGGGCCGAACACCTCCTTCGTCGTCGGGCAAAGGCGGACGCTGTAGCCGGGTCGAGAATAAGCGTCGTCATCGTGTTCAATCGCAATAACCTCCATAATATTATATAGCCCCTTTAGTATTCCGGGACTTTGCTGCGGGTCGCCCCATAGACAATGGGCTAAATGAAGAACGCAGACGTGCCGCAAAACGCCCGGACCCCCCCTCTGCAGCCCGCCACAACCACCGCCGACGCCCCCGAAGCCTTACCGCGTGTTTTATACATTTTTGTACACGCGTATAATATATTATTATTATGTATACATAAAATATTGTATATTATAAAAGCCCGGAAAGAAAACTGGGCGAAATGATTCGATTTGCTCCGGTTCACTCTTTCCCCGCACTGTGCGATGTATTTTATGCGCATATATAATATTATATAATATACTTTATGCAAAACGTGCCTTTTATTATATAAAAAAAAATAATAATAATGTAAATACCATGCCTGTATAGTTGCTCGGCACGCGGATGAGGCTATAACCGCTGCGGACGAAATAACCCGATTAAACGCCACCCCATAAACATATATGTATAATGTATATATAGGTATACTATATATATATTATCAATGTATGTGTGTGTGTATGTGTGTATACGTTATATACCATATAAGTAGTAAATACATATGTATTGGCAACTGACAGTGTACAATATTATACATATATATTATATAGCCCTCCTCCGTGTACATGAAACGAATCAAAACACGGGCGCCCTTTTATTATTAAAATAGAATTATAACGATGGAAAAAAATATCGTATCCCGCCAAGTCAATATGTTTTTCGGGCCCTTTTGAAATAGGCTACAACAGCACCACCGTCGTTGTCGTCGACGCCGTTGCAGTAGTCGGCAGCTCAAAAAACCGCCCCCTCCTCGCCATGACCCGTATTTGTTTTATTAACTCCTAAAACATCACGCACCCTTTCATCTGAACGGAAGCCAATAATGTTACCTACTCAATATTGTATTATGCACTCACACAGAGCACCTTAATATTTATCACAGCGTTGATCCTCTGCTGCTATTATATTATACTTTTAATTTTTTTAAATACTTTGATTCTATAGCAACAATGAGTATAATATTATTAGGTAGGTAGGTACCTATTTGTTTTGCATCTACCCATGTGTTATACTGGTATAATATTAATTATACATTATTATTTTATTTTTATCCATTTTACTATCTTAGTAGGTACTTATTAAATTAATAATTATTGTTAAATGTACAATTTTGTTTAACGTTTTATATTATTTACGCATTTATTATAGTAACAAATAGTAAAATTTCACAATATTTCGATTGATTACAATTTACATTTCAAACAAAAAAAGTTTTTCAAATTTCAGATAGAGACGCCAGCCAAAAGACATGTTCGGGTCCACGATTTAAATAAAGCATACGATTATAGTTATATTCACTTACAAGTTGCATTTAATTTGAAATATTTAATTCATACCAGTAAAGTGATTAGTGAGCCGTTATAATATACAAAATTAATTTTAATTACTCAAAAAAGCAACAAACGGTATTATAAACCATGAAACATTATCCCCTTTAGAAATCATACCATTATTATAACGAAAAAAAAATGTAGTTATAATTAATCTATTAATCTCAAACGTATACACAATAATTAATTATTCAGTTTATATTAAGTAACTATTAGATTTAGATACATTTATACTCACTAAAAGTTTCTCCTGTAATCCTATATCACCAATAATATGACATCTTCCTCAGAGGTGAACAGGCCCAAAATTATCTTAAAAACAAAATATCTAATGAAGGACTATAATTGTAACACT